TGCTGTCCTCTTCAATTTCTTTCTTCAAAGACTTAAAGTTCTTGTCAAATAGATCTTTCACTTCTTTGGTCAGAGTTACCCCAAGATATTTTATGCTATTTGTGGCTATTGTGAAAGGTGATGCTTCTCTGATTTCCCTCTCTGCCAGGGAAGATATGCCAGGGAGAAGCAGCCCCAGCAGAGGGGACCAGCCCTTGCAGGCTAACCGGGGGGGGGGGGGGGGGGGGGGGGGGGGGGGGGGGGGGGGGGGGGGGCGCGAGGGTCGGGGAATGCCCCCGTTCCATTTCCTGTGTCCCACCGTGGGCCAAGAACACTCTCCCCACTCAGGCTGGTCTTCAGGGACAGGACCAGGCTCCCTGTTCGCCCGTGGACCTCGCCAATAAAAGGTCTACCACTCTGCAGGCCAGGCCCCCAAAAACCTACTTGATTTAGTTGTAGTGTGGCAATCTGCTCTCAGTGTGGGCTTCACTGTTTCAGGCTTGGACTATCCCGCTTCCGCCGGTGTCCGCTGCCGCGTGGGTCTGCCAATACATCTTATTTATTTATTTCTATATGGTGCAGTTCTGGCAATGCTGCATGGTGGAGGTTTTGAACTATCTTCCATGAGGGATGAGCTTCTGAAAATTGAAGTTATGTTATTCTATTAGTGAGACTATTAGGCCTTTCTTTTTAGAAAGACTTTGCATAGATGTGATTTACTCTTTGGTGAGTGAGTGTCAAGATGGTTGACAGGCCCAGATATTAACTCTTAAAAGATGGAGACAATAATATTTAGTAATGTTCTATTCCACTACCCAGGACCTGAGGTAGAACCTTGATTTTATTCTTTGTTTCAGGAAAAAAAAAGTAGCTTTACCTTAATAAGCCTCAATAAAGCTATATCCGCTTCCTGGAGGAATTCATGCATACTTATCTTAGGATAAGTATCTAGTTTCTCTGGAGTTGTAGTAAGTTGTTCTTACTGGGGCTGAGAAAATAGCTTATGGGCAAAATGCTTACCACACAATCAGGAGCATCTATATTTGGATCTCCTGTACCCATCTACAATCCAGCCATGGCCGTGTGCACTTGGAATCCTAAAAGTGGATTGGCTGCCACAAGAGCTATCTATAGGACTTAGAAACTGTCTAGCTAATTGACCATCCTTGTGCTCAGTGAGAGACTCTGTCCTCCAGAAAACATGGTGAAGAATAATTTAAGACACCTGACCATTTACTTCTGGCCTCCCACTTACTACCACACAGAATGCTCATCTTACCCCTTACACACATGTAACACATACACATATTTCACTTATAAAATCCCCAACATCTCTTGGCAAAGAAATAATATAGTTTTAGCCTTATAATATATTGAAATAAGCATTTTTAAACAGTATTAATAGGAAGTTATGCAAGAATATATTTACCAAGAATGCTGTAACACCAAATATCATTACTTTCCTTTAATTATCATGAGTAAATAATAAAAATTATAAATTATAAAATCACTTATAAACACCTTAATTATATATTTGATAAGAATATAGCAAAGAACCAGTATAAAAAGCAAATGGTAATGACTGTGTAAATGTATCAGGGGAAAACTTGACAACATGTGGATGGTCCTGGATTTGATCTTAAACACTGAAGAAAAGGAAAGAAATAAAAATATGAAGACAATCTTGAGCACCCAGGTTTTATGATATTAAATTTTTGCCTCATCGTTGATATTTCTAATCAAACTTTCAACAAAGGTGATTATTGTCAGGTCCAAAAGAAGCTCCATTTCCTCAAACTCAGTGAGAGAAAAACCACCATTCCTCAGGAACTCGTGTTGCTGGTTCAGCTTTCCTCTACCAAAAGATAAAATCACCCTTATCACTGGCAAAAAGAATAGATGGCTATTTGTGATGTCTATTAGAATACCAAGGTGCATGCTGCTCTCCAGGTTCCCTCACTATCATAGGTACCTGTTACTCTTTGCGGAGTCCATGGTGGCATCTTGGCTCTTCTCTCCTCCCACTACCCTAAAAGTCCTCCAGGTTAGAAGCCTCCTTCTCCTTGCTATTCATTCTTTATAATCCTGTACCTTCAGATATGCTCCCTACCTCTCTTTCTGTCCTGTCTTTTGCCCACAGTCTCTTTACTCTCTTTGCCATCCCTACCTCTCTCAATTCTCTCTCTACATTGCTTCTGCTTTTCTCGTGGCCAAGTCCCATCTTCTTGTGGCCATGTGTAGTTTACTACTTTCTCTGCCTGCTCGGGATTCTTCCAGGTGTTTCGGGTGTTTTCTCCCTCATATCTACAATAAAGACATTCCTCTTAGTCATACCTTGGAGCAGTCATGTCTGGAGTGCAATTATGTTTGATCCATTAACAAGGTTGAAATACAGAACTGTGCATTTGATCCTCCCCTTTTATCCCAAACAGTATTTTTTTTTTCTTCAGCAAGAATGTCAACTCTGATTTCAGAAACAGACAAGCATGATTACTTTATAGATCTTTCCTTTATGGGTGCATAATTTCCACATTTGAAATCACTTAGTCTCCCCGAGTGCAATCATGTTCCTACTGGCTGCCTAATTCCCTATATAGATAAGAAAAATGAAAGGTGTTGAATAATCAATTTTCTGGGTAGGAGCATGGACGGATGCACATATGTGAGTGACCTAGTGAAATGACCTGCAATGCTGGCTGTGCTTATGCTTTTACAGAAGCGAGCGCAGCTGTCTGTCAGCTTGCAGTGATGGTGGAAAAATCTCAGAAGCAGTCTTTGTGTCTGGAAGAACTCTGTTCCCAGTTCCTTCTCCACACTGGGGAACTCACACTCTCAGCAGCAAACCCATGATCTGTCTGGAAATGTTTCGGCTTTTATAATTCTTCCCCGCTACTTTGATTCAACGCTGAGCAAAGGCTTTTGAAGAATGGTTAAACCTTCTCTCATCTGACTCCAGAAAAGGTATTTCTTTCTCTAAAACACTCCCTCTCCCTGATGACAGCGCAGCGGTTGTTTGAGTAAAATGTTTAGCTTATGGCTACTCATTCTCAATGAGTAAATGTACCCCTCTGAAGCCGTAAAACAATCCCACAGTAGTTCAGAAGAATGGATAATAAAAGGGTTATTTATTTAAGGGGAAAACTTACAGATCACCGTCTTAAACAATAGTCCTCTGAGCACAAACAGGAGCAAAGTCTAGCTGCCAGAATGGGAGCTGGAAGCAATAGAGCTGCACGTGTTGACGGATGATTTTTAAACTAGAAGAGACCACGCCCACGTGGGCTGGTATCTTAAAGGCTATTGGCTGAAGGAGCACAATGTGCTCCCACAGGATCCCTCCAAGCAATGCTTACTGCAGAACTAATATGAAGAAGTAGAACTACCATGAAGGCTAGGAACGTAGAGCAAGTTCATGCTCTGTCTCACGTAGGCGTTGCTTCCCTTTCCCTCTCCCTAAAAGTATACTGCAAATCTTGCACACACAGTTGATTTCTTTACAAAACACCAGTAAAAGATCCAACTTTAATCATAAACAAAATGTTAGATGAATTGAGCTTTAGCTTCTAGATAAATTTCATAAAAGGAAAGATCACATAAAGCAGTCTGAATACAGTGTTTTGTTTACCTAATGCTCATTTTCTTCATTTGGCACTGAGAGAACAACAAGCTAACGGGAGGTCTTCAGATATGCATGTAAACTCCTAAGATCAATCCATTTGCAGCTGATTTTATGTAAGGTGGAAGATGAGGACCTAGTTTCGTTTTTCAACCTGTCAGTATCCAATTTTGCAAACACAAGCTGAAGGCACTGCTTTCCCACCAGTGGGTATTTTTGTTACTTTAGTAAAAACAAAATCTGGTGATTTTAATTGTGGCGGCTTAAATCTGGGCCATCTGTGCATTGGTCCATATATCTTTTTATGTCAACATTGACAATTTTCTGCTGAAATACTGTACTTCCCAGGTGCCCTTGCACACTACTGGAGTTCTCGCTGTCCCTACAAAGGCTGCAAACAGCCTTTATCTGTGGGACCTTACTTTATCCACTTACGTAGCATGGGACCTATGGCCCATCCCTCCACAAGAGTGATGTATGAGATGACCGCTTCACAGTGTTTTCACCAATAAACTCAGTCCTGCCTAAAGGAAAGACTGGCCTCTGCTTTTGGTATTTGCTGTTTCCTGTAATCCACCTGTAATAATCTAACAAATGCCATGCAGTTTTGGCTACTATGGCTCTGCAATTTAGCTTGAGAGCGGAGTTTCCAGCATTATTGCTTTTTTCTGGATTATCTGTCTATACCTTTTTGTGTTTTGTTGTCATTGTTCCTGCTTTTGTATTTCTACATGAAGTGCAAGGTTGTTTTTTGTTTCTATTTCAGTTTTTATTTATTGGTTTTTGGTCTGTTTTTTTTTATTTCTATAAAGAATGGAATGGGGATTTTTACTGGGATGAATTGAGTCTGTAATTTCTTCTGGTAGAATGGTTATTTTCAGATTCATCATATGAAATCACACTTTATTGCTATCCACCTGATTTCCATGCCATTGTCTGTTTCCCTTTCATAATGAACAAATTATGAAAGAGTGATTACACTTTTTAAAATAATATGCTGAAATGAATTTATTTTCAAAATTCTCCACACCTCCATCTCTTAATTACAAATAGCACACAGCACTTAATACACATGGACACACGTGTTTGTATATTCATATAAGTACTGTGTCACTTATTTTTTGTATTTACTGTTATTCTCACCCTAATAACTCTTACATGCATTGTGGTAGCCAATTGACAATTAACATATTTTTCACTGTATTATTAAAACTGAAATGAACATTTCTACCTGTCATATCAGAAGAAGAAATTCTACTACCAAAGTCACAACAATACTAATAGTTACTTTTGAAAACTTTTCTTGGGAGGCCCCGTGATAGGCCCAACCAGGCGGCCCGAGAGAGCGGGAAGCGCAGCGGGCGGGCGTCCTCTTCCGCCCCGGCCTGGAAGGGTGATGTGGCTGATGTCTGCCATTTTCAATTTTCAGAGTCTGTTGACTGTAATCTTGCTGCTTATATGTACGTGTGCTTATATCCGATCCTTGGCACCCAGCCTCCTGGACAGAAATAAAACTGGACTATTGGGAATATTTTGGAAGTGTGCCCGAATTGGTGAATGCAAGAGTCCTTATGTTGCTGTATGCTGTATAGTGATGGCCTTCAGCAGCCTCTTCATACAATAGCTTCAAAAACTACCAGCGTGTGATTGCCATCAGACTCTAAACAAAGACTTGCCTCCAGAAAATAATGGGAAGAATAGTTAACCCTTTTATCTCTGAACAAGAAATGAGATAAATTTCAAGATGCTGTTCTATTTTTATGCTAATGGAGCAATGAGCTATATAAATAATTAAGATGTAACAGTTTAATACACAGGATGTGATTATAGCAATCAACCTCAGTCTGTTGCTCCAGTATTAACTCTCAGCAAATGTCATTCTGTTGTCTCAGGACTGCTTTTCATAAGGTTCTTGAGGCCATGAAGTAGAACAAACAGTTGGTGGATTCCACAGGCTCCTTTCACTAGGGCTTAAAAATGTTGTCCTCATTGAATGAGACCTTCTAGTGACTGGCCTATTTTTATTGGAAAAAAAATGTTCTATTTTTGTTGTTGTTGCTATTCTTATGGATTGCATTCATATTTAAACCATTTTGATTGCTAACCAGAATACCTCTATTCTTGGCAAATTATTACAGGTGTAAAATATTTTAAACAAAACCCTGCATTTCTTTAATATAATATGGTCAAGTGTGGTCAAAGATACAGCTGCCGTTCTCTGAAAAAGAGCATTCTTAGAATGGAAAACAGCAAGTAGAACAGAGTAGACTAATAGTATCACATGCTTTCATTCTCATTCGTGTCAGCTCTTCCAAATAGAGCACTGGTTGTAGTTATCCCCCCCCCAAAAAAAAGAAAACTTTTCTTAACAATGTAATGCATGAAAACATAAGTTTAACATTTGAAATACAAGAAAAATATACAATTATTTTAATTTTACCTGCATAGTTTAATTGCACAAAATAATATTTCATATTGTCATTTCATATATTTATAAAATATGCTTTAGTCATAGTTTTTCTCCTGTTTCTTTCTCATTACCAATGTGTCTACTCTGCTTTTAGCCCTTTCTCTTCTCAAGTGCTTCTTAGTCTACTCTATCATCGTTCCAAGAAACTGAACAGATTATTCTCAAAGAAAAATTCTTTTCAATAAACACATGAAGAAAATATTCAACATTTTTACAAATGAAGTGTGTGCTAATAAAATAAAAATAGTGCTAATATCCCAATTCCACCCCAAGCAAAATAGCTGTCATCAAGAAAAACAAAATCAAAACCAAAATATATAAGATAGTAAATGTTGGTATGGATGAAAAGAGTATGGAAGAGTAATCTTTTAGTCAGTTGTTGGAACTACTGATTATTTAAGAAACTATAAGAATCAGTATCAGGTTTACATAAAATTTCAAAGTAGAGGTATGTACAGTATCAGTACTGTCAATAAAATTCAAAGAGACATTATTAGCTATAAGTGACACATATGTATACACAGCAATGCTTATAAAATGCAAGTGATTAAATCATCCATACATGTTTATTATAAAACTTCATTCAGACTAGGTAGGAATACATGAAAATCTCTGCCTTTTAACAGAAGCCGTCATGGTCTGAACTAAACCACTTTATAGTCTTAGGCCTTGGTTACCTAAGTTGCCCCATTTCCATTGCTACATCTGAAAATTGTTAACATAAATGTTTGAGCAAACTTTGCCCCATGTATTTGAAATAAAAAATAGCAAAAAGACCTGCCAAGGAAATTCCTCTTTAAAACAGAGCCCATAATAAAGAAAATCACAACCAATCAAAAAGCAAAGCTGTGGAGCCCAGTTTTAATTGATAAATACTCAAAATAGTCTTGTACTTAAAGTTCAATGAACATCTCTGATGAGGTGGCAGGAGATTACAATTACAATGATTTTCCTTCGAGATTTAGCACCTTAGTTATGTCACAATCTTTGACATAAAGTCCCATAGAGTCTCATCAGAATGATGCTTAGACTGGAGCTGAACAAGAAGCAAAGCAATAGACATGACTGAGTGAACAGAGGAAAGACCATGGGGCCTCTGTCCTACGCAAAGCACTACAGGCAACTAAGGAATACTGACAGTGATAGAAATAATTTCCCCAGGGAAGAGCATCCCTAGTAATGATCCAATACCAAATGGTCACTTCTAATAGTATACACCCAGTAACATTATACATACTAAATAGATTTTATTTAGAAACATATATATATATATATGAAAATACTTATGTTATTACATGTAATGACAAAGAGAGGCAATGAATTTGAAACAGAGCAAACATGGGAATATAGGAGAGTTTAGAGGTAGGAAACAGAAGAGAGAAATGATATAATTAAATTAGAATTTGAAAAATAAATGAAATAATTTTTAAAAATTTTACATTGACACAGAAGGCCCCCAATCACCCACTAGTTTCTTCTGCTGGCAACATGTTGCCTAAACATAGTGAAGTATTCTAGCCACAAGACTGACTTTGATAAAATGGTTAATCTTCATTAGACATTCACCATATGATAGTCTATTATCTTCTGTGAAGGTGTTACTCCTACAGATGCAAGGAGAAACAACACCAGTCCAATCGTCATGCTCAAATTAACTAAATCAAGCTTTTTAACATTCGTGTCCACAGTCTTTTCCTCTGTAAAGGTAGGGTTCAAGAGATAAGCCTTAGACATGGATAAGATAGTTGGTTTTTTTTTTTTTGAAGTGCCATAATTTATTTATTTAATTATTTTTTTTTATTGAGAAAAAAAAATTTCCGCCTCCCACTCCTCCCCCCTCCCCCCACTCCTCTCCCCCTCCTCTCAAGTCTGAAGAGCAGTCAGGGTTCACTGTCCTGTGGAAAGTCCAAAGTCCCCCCCCCCCCCTCCGTCCTGGTCTAGGAAGGTGAACATCCAAACTGGCTAGGCTCCCACAAAGCCAGAACATGTAGTAGTATCAAAACCCAGTGCCATTGTTCTTGGCTTCTCATCAGCCCTCATTGTCCACCATATTCAGAGAGTCCGGTTTTATCCCCTGCTTTTTCAGTCACAGTCCAGCTGGCCTTGGTGAGCTCCCAATAGATCAGTCCCACTGTCTCAGTGGGTGGGTGCACCCCTCTTGGTCCTGACTTCCTTGCTCATCTTCTCCCTCCTTCTGTTCCTCATTGGGAATTTGGGAGCTCAGTCCAGTACACCAGTGTGGGTCTCTGTCTCTATCTCCATCCATTGCCAGATGAAAGTTCTATGGTCATATGCAAAATATTCATCAGTATGGCTATAGGATAGGATCATTTCAGGTTCCCTATCTTCAGCTGCCCCAGGAACTAACTGGGGACCTCGCCTTGTACACCTGGAAGCCCCTCTAGGTCCAAGTATCATCCCAACCCTAAGATGGCTCCCTTAATTAAGATATGTGCTTCCCTGGTCCCCTATCCAACCTTCCTTTATCCCAATCATCCCGTTGCCCCAAGTTCTCCCCATCCTACCCTTCTCACTTTTCTCTCCCCATCTCCTCTTACCCCCCTCCCACCCACCCTTAAGATCCCGATTTTTTGCCTGGCAATCTTGTCTACCTCCCCTACCCAGGAGGATAGCTATATGTTTTTCTTTGGGTTCACCTTCTTATTTAGCTTCTTTAGGATATCAAATTATAGACTCACTGACCTTTATTTATGGCTAGAAACCAATTATGAGTGAGTACATCCCATGTTCATCTTTTTGGGTCTGGGTTACCTCACTCAAGATAGTATTTTCTATTTCCATCCATTTGCATGCAAAATTTGGGAAGTCATTGTGTTTTACCGCTGAGTAGTACTCTAATGTGTATATATTCCACACTTTCTTCATCCATTCTTCCATTGAAGGACATCTAGGTTGTTTCCATGTTCTGACTATTACAAATAATGCTGCTATGAACATAGTTGAACAAATGCCCTTGTCATATGATCGGGCATCACTTGGGTATGGGGCACTGATCTGAACAGAGAATTCTCAACAGAAGTAGTTCAAATGGCCAAAAGACACTTAAGGTCATGCTCAACCTCCTTAGCGATCAGGGAAATGCAAATTAAAACAACTTTGAGATATCATCTTACACCTGTCAGATTGGCTAAAATCAAAAACACCAATGATAGCCTCTGCTGGAGAGGTTGTGGAGGAAGGGGTTCCCTCATCCACTGCTGGTGGGAATGCAAACTTGTGCAACCACTTTTTTTTTTTTAAAGCTCAGGAGTAAGCGATTTTCAAGTAGGGTGTTCGGCAGGCTAATAGGTGGGGTACAGAAGCAGAACATAAGCATAGCAACCTTTTGAAACAAAGACATTGTTTACTGAAATAGGCTGTACAGAAACATTTGTAATTAAGGCTACAGGTGGGTTATAGCCCATTCCTTGAGAAAAAGATTTAATCATAAACAGAAATCAATCCAGTTTGTTTTTACTATAAGATGACCTTCAGGCCTAAAATGGAGGCAGACTGTCTTAACACAGGTTTGACTGCTAGCTTGTCTGTTACAACTGATGTGTTTAATGACCTTGTTTCTTTTTCTTTCTTTTTTTTTCAGATTTGTTTATTTATTATGTACACATGTTCAGCCTCCATGCATGCCCTCAGGCCAGAAGAGGGCACCAAATCTCATTACAGATGGTTGTGAGCCACCATGTGGTTGCTGGGAATGGAACTCAGGACCTCCAGAAGAGCAGTCAGTGCTCTTAACCTCTGAGCCATCTCTCCAGCCCCTATGACCTTGTTTCTTTAAAGGCAAAGTGTAACCAGCAACATTCTTTATTAGAGACTGTTTGACTGGAAATCAAGTACCTTTGAAGTGATGCTATATATTTGTCTTGCTTTTATAACTAATTTAAATTTAGTTTTGAAGATAAAAAATGTGGTTATTATTCCTGATAAATTAAAGCATATTTACCCAAAGCCCTGGATCACAGCATATCACTATTACATAACAAGTTTCAAAGTTTCGATCCTACTGAACCCCAGTTCAAACTCAGGCACAATGAAAGTCACCCTAGAACCCTCAAAATCCAAACAACAGTGTAAAAAATGGTATCTTGAACAGATGCTTCTAGTGAAACACATTTAGATGCAAGAATGAAACTGTATCTCTAACTACATAGAAAAACAAACAAACACACAATCTCCCACAGAATGAAAAGTTAAAAATGTCTACAGGAAAAAATTACAAGTGAAGTTCACCTAGAATACAGAATAAAATATTTGCTT